GGCTAGAGTGCCGTGGCGTCAGCCTAGCTCACAGCAACCTCAAACTCCTGGGCTCAAGCGATCCTTCTGCCTCAGCCTCCCGAGCAGCTGGGACTACAGGCATGCACCACCATTCTCGGCTCATTTTTTCTATGTATTTTTTTTTTAGTGGTCCAGATCATTTCTTTCTATTTTTCAGTAGAGACGGGGTCTCACTCTTGCTCAGGCTGGTCTCGAACTCCTGACCTTGAGCAATCCACCTGCCTCGGCCTGCTAGAGTGCTAGGATTACAGGCGTGAGCCACCGCGCCCGGCCTAAATATTTCTTAAGTGCTCTGAATAGCATCCTCAAAAAGTACTTGTTATAGCTTTCATTTTTATGCATAGCTTATAGTAGGTGCATTACAGGAAGAATTGAATAGTCTGTGTACCTTGAGAATTTATATGGATTCCACTGACATGAACAAATGTTGAAAATAGTAAGTGAACATAAAATCTGTGTTTATAGATAAGAGGTTGGATCTATTATTTGAGATTAACTTGGCTGCAAATGATAATAAACAAAAATTTGTACAGTTCTTCCATGATAATAGTGCAAGAGAATCTAAACTTATCTCCAGAAGAAGGAAGCAGGATTTAAGGTGTCTTGAACATCCCATCTCAACCTCATCCACAGCTACTCTTACTTAGTAGATTTGCACGTAAACCTGTAGCACTCACCCTATGCGAAGAACAGAAGTCAGCCTTTACCTTGCCCCCTGCTCACTGCTCTGAGGAAGCCCTTCTGTGTTAGTGGGCTCCCCTGTCCTCGTGCATAGCCCTCATCTGTTGTAAACATTTCTCATTTAGGAAACCCACACAGGAGCCTTTTTAGTGTGTACACAGAAAGTACCTCAACGTCTAGCAAGTGTGGTAGCTTAGTATAGTCCCACCAGCACAGCACAAAACCCTGTAATATGTACAGGCTGATAAATTCACCTTGTCGTGATATGTGCCCCAGACCAAGTGGAATCACGTTTAGTGTGTTAAATTGTCAGTGACTTTCATTAAACATTGGATGGCTCACTATGAACACTTGAAACATTTCTAACCTACTAGTATAGTCATCCTCATTTGACCTATAATATTGGAGTAAACTTTGTCCTTTAGGCTTTTGTCTGGTATTCTATTTTCTGAATCTTTTTGCTATACTTTGTTTTCTTAGTTTTTGGTTTGGTTTAGTTTTCCACTTGTTATGTAGGCAGTCAAAAGTTTATTTTAGCTCAATTCTGGCAGCGAAGCAGAAAAAAGCTGTTTAAAATCTGTTAAGTCTTGTGAAAGCCACACCTGCATGGAGTTTTGGTGACTTCTAGGAGGAGTAAAGAAAAAAAAACCTAAAACTTTGAGCAGCTGCTTAAGGTCCCTGTCTCTAGCTCACGTTGGTGTGTGTACCCAACAGGACTTAATCGTGGTCTTAAAGAGCCCAGAGGTGGGGTCGGGGTGGGGGACACAGGGATGGAAGACTGTGCTTGGAGGGAAAACGTTGTAAAGTAACTCTAATTGAAGGCATGTGGGGCTCCAGATTGGCCTGCTGCCGTACTGCTCCATCTCAGTTGTGTGAGCCACTCACGTTCTCAGTCTTGATGGCAGCAGCGTGTGAGGTGGTGGGAAAGTAACACGGTGGTGCTGGCAGCTGCTCGGAAACAAGTCCCAGGGCTTGAGAATCACACTTCATATACTCACTTAGGATTTGGGGATTTTACTTATTTTCTGTTAAAGATTTTTTTAAAATATTGCTGGTTGTGATTTTTCTCTTTAATATTCGAAATTCAAAATTTCTTTCCGGTAATCACCCATCTCAGAAATGCCAGGACGTTATTAATTAATAGGTACCTTGGAAATGAGTTGGTTCAGTGGTTCTGTAACTTTTTGGTCTTAGGACCCCAAAG